TCGGCTTAGAATTTATGGTTCACCGCTCTTTAATTCCTGGTGCTTTCGATTCTTTTGCCATCTAGGCATTTCACAATCAAACCACGTGCTGTGGTGGAGTTTCCAATAACTATTGCATAAGACATCAGCAAGGCCAGCTCCAGGGTTTTGGCCGCCCCAAGCAGCCAAAACAAAACAAAAGCCGCGATCGTGATCTGCGGCGGCAATTCGGCAGGAGGTCCTTCACTCCCAGGCGGAGTGAGGGACCGTCCGCCAAATTGCCGCCGAATACCTGGACGTGCCGCCCCTCTCCGGAGCGGCCGCCCCAAGCACCTGCTTGAGAAGCTGGTGCCTGGAGCTGGCCCTGGACATCAGGACTCTTAACAACCACACAACCCACTGAGTGGTAGCAAGTGAATAGAAATCAGTGCAGAGACTTATATAGGTTCTGAATTCACACCATCCTCCACCACTCAAAGCAAGCAGCTGTGCTCTGGGTGAACTCCAGGTGAAGTGCATTGCACTAATTTAGCCAGGAGCGTCTGAGGGTCTGGATAACTGGTGCAAGGTCCACATTTAAGAGGAATGAGCCACTTGCTTGCCAGGTGGTAGGGAGATGTTTGATGGTTTGGGTTATTTACTTACTTTGCAAAATATGGTCTTGAGATCCTTATTCGTTCCATTTCTTTTTTCCCCTCTCCAAGGGATTTTACATGTATATCCCAGGGAAGCATGTGAATATAATCTAGTCTATGATGAAATGCTGGACTGTCCGGGGAGAGAGAAGTGGTCGGTTCCACGGTGGAGCAATACATCAGAACGTGCCGTCGTTAAAGACTCAGGTTAATAATGTGAGCCACAGAAAGTGAAAGCTCTGGGAAATTGGCTTGCAAAGCAAAAGAACAGCATGGAGCAATCTCGGGTTATACAGCTGACCCAGACAAACCCTGCTCCAGTTTAAAAGCGGCATGTGGCTGTACTATGGGAAGCAAAGCAATGTGTTGTCTTAACATGCCTGTCATTGCCAAGAGTGCAGCACATACTGCTGCATGTGACCAGGGAACATAACGCATTTTGGATCCTGCTGTAGGATGTACTGGGTTTTAAAGTCCCCCTAGCCCAAGCTGTGTAAAGTCAGTACGAGCCCTAGGGGAGCAAACAGTAAAATCTAGATCGAGTTGGCTTGGAAAACCAAGTCCCCCTCTTCCTGTCACATTCTCTCTTCCTACACCTGCACTGCAGGGAGTGAGACCATGTGGTGCAGGTGCTTGTAAGATGCACTGCCACTGATCAAGACTGGGAATTAACTAATGCCAGGGGTAAATCTGTCTGTAGTAACCAAACCATCTTCATCCCAAACTTCACTCCCACCCCACCCCCAATTCCAGATTTATCCTTAGTGGTAGGAGCTTAGGTGCACTCAACTCAAAACCCTTTTCACTTCTTTTAACCCTGTCTCACCCCATTGTATCTTCCTGCAGTAGTCTCCCAACGCCTGTAATTCCTACTTTCCAAGGCATTGGCTTGTTTCTTGAGCTCAGTATGGTATAATTTACTGCTGCTATTTCCCACAAGTCTTCCCTGGCTTCCTCTCCAACCGATTCTAGTACAAAAGTCTCCAAGGCCTTCCCTGGATTTAGCAGGGAAGGAAAAGGGGCAATATTTCTCCAAACTTCTCTCTAATGCTCCTGTTACAGTGGTGCTCAAATACCAGATTCCTTCCTTCTCTCTCCTCATCACAAGTGGTGAATGCTGCCTTTAACATCTGCCCCCAGTCCCGATTCCGCCTAATTTGTTTCCTATAGTCAAATCTCATTTCAAGAGCTTGTCTATGTGTGAAAGTGGTTTTAGATTAAGGTAGGGTGTAAATTCAAAGTGCAATAGCTATTCTTGACTAATTCCAGCTGTGGGCACTCAATCTGGAATAAAAGTGACTTGTTCCTGTTTATTTGAACCCGTTTTCAAAGCAGGTTAAGCTAAACAGGAACAAGGCACTCTTGATTCCTGAACTTTCCTGGAAGGGCCTGTCTCTAATGACTACACATTCTACTCCGTGAGCCATTCAGTTTACTGCAACTCTCCTTCCCACATCTACAGCTGTTTTATTTGTACTGGAATGTATTGACTGTCTACCTGAATGTAAATCTGTGCTATGTTGTGCCGCAGAAAGATTGCATGAAAGGTTTATCATACAAGGGGGAAAATGTGTTGAAGGAAAAAATTTAAGTGAATTCTTTCAAGGGAATATCTGAGAACTCCACGATCCAGCCCCATCATAGAGCTCACTGCACGTGCAGTGTACCTGCATCAAAGTTGTTTGCTACATCGGCTGTGAGATCTATAACCTATGTGCTTCCTAATGAAAGTGACATTCTCACCTATCGTATATCTCAGGTCCATAATTTATATTACAAACTCTTGGGGCAGGGATGTGGCTCTGTGTTAACTGAGAGGCTCCTAGCACACTTATGGGCTCTGTAAAATATTAATACGTTTGGCTAGCGATGTCAGAAAACTCAGTAATTCCCTAAATTCAACCCTTGGGGACCCGCTACTCATTTTCAGATGTCAGCGTGTGTAAAAATGTACATTGGACTACATGAGCCTGCAACTCCTGATCAGAATTCTTCTAGTCTAGTTCCTCTTAATCCTCTAATCCAGCGGGTCTCAAACTTTATTGGTGACCCCTTTCATACAGCAACCCTCTGAGTGCCACCCTCCCCAGATAAATGAAACACCCTTTTAAATATATTTAACACCATTATAAATGCTGGAGACAAGCAGGGTTTGGAGTGGAGGCTGACAGCTCCTGACTCCCCATGTAATGACCTTGCGCCCCCCAGTTTGAGAACCCCTGCTCTAACCTATGTAACTAATCCATTTTGAAGTGTCTTTACATAGATCTCACAGTTAATGTGCTCATTGTCCCTTCAAAGCCAAGTTTGCTAAATATTAGTTAAGTGACAATATGCTTGATGCTACACAAGTTGCAATGGGAATGGCTTTGCAAGTTTACTATTTTCATACCTGCATTTTGTCCCTGTTGTGTCTGTCTCGGTCACTCCAGATACCTAACACCAGTGCAATAGCATAAGTAATTCTGCATTACTGAGACTCAGGGATACTACAAGCAAAGCAATATTTTTTGAAAATGGGGTGATTTGAAATTGTCAGTGTTTTAAATGTTGTTCCTTGACTATTGATTGTTGTTGCATTGAGCAGTACTTGTCACTAGCGCCTGCCACGTTTTAGTGACATGTTTTTAAAAGCTCTTTATTTAAGCAAAGGTCACTGCAACAGGAACAGGATGTAAAACGAGTCTGCAGTTCAATTCAAAACGTGCTTATCTTTTCTAAGACAACCATTGATTCTGATCTTGAATATGGCCAGTTTTCACTACTTGAACACTATTCTACAGGGGAAACCTTGCTCCATATCATTTCCGATTGTCCTGAGTGCGCATTGTAGACAAAACACACTCATGGACAGAACTCTTCCTATGACACCAACTGGTAGAATTGAAAAGTACCGTATTGCCCATCGTTGGTAGTCTCACCTACACCTTCTGTCTTCTGGAACTACATTATATATAGACCTGAGCAAATAAACTTTTCCCCCTCCGTTTGCTCGCTTGTACTAATAAATAAATAACTTTGGGTTTGGGTCAACCTAAAAGGCCATGTTTGCAAAACTTTCAGCAAACCTCTTTGTTGTTAAAAAATTGTTTCAGGAGGACCGAAACTTCATTTCAACCTAAACTGAAATGTTTCATTTTGGTTCTGAGGTTTTTAATTTTTAAATAAAATAATTTTTTAAACAAGCCCTTTTGAATAAACAATGTAAATGTTCTGTTTTGAAACCGTCAGAACAAAAGGTTTGATTTAAAAAAAGAAGGGGCAGGGTGGCTGGCACGAGTGCATGCCCCTAATCTGCATTTTTGTAAGAAAATGGTGGTGGGAAAATGTTTGCCTCACTCTAATTCTACAAAAACAACAAGGAGTCTGGTGGCACCTTAAAGACTAACATCTGTTAATCTTTAAGGTGCCACCAGACTC